AGGCCACTGAGAGGTCCAAGAGCACCAACAGGGTCACATTACCCCTGTAGATACCCAAGCGGAGGTCGTTGGCCAGCGCAACCATGGCAGTCTCAACTCCATATCCTGTCCTAAAGCCAGTTTGAAATGGATCTAGATAAAGGAATAACAGTGCCTTTAGAGGGAGCCATATCTGCCTGTAAGTCCCCTATCCATCCCCTATGTAAGTTGACCCTGTAGTTCTAGCCTTAGAGTCCTATCACTCACCTTGCTGTTGCCCTTTTACCATCAAAATCCCTCAAGATGACCACTGTTTGGGACAAGTGGATGTCTTGGTTGTTGGATTCAGTCTGACAATGCATGACTCATCTTCCTTGTTAATTATTATATTAAAACTAACATTTATAGATGTAGAAAATTTTAAAAATAAAAATTTATTGCAAGAGACAATAAAAACATCTGGGGGGGTGCTGATTCACACACAGTACATTGTACCACTTCAGTTTCAAACATCAACACTGCTCCTTGAACCCTTTCCACACCCTTAGCCCCCCTCCCAAAAAAATGTATCCAGATCTTCTCCACCCCCTTCTTCTTTGCTCTAACTTTGGGCCTTTACAGACTGCCAGACATAATACAGCTTGAGACCACTTTAACTGCCCTGGCTCAATGCTAGGGAATCATGGGAATTGTAGTTTTTTCTGAGGCATTGAGCTTTCTCTGTCAGAGAGCTCTGGTGCCACAATAAACTACAGTTCCCATGATTCCCTAGCACTGAGCCAGGGCAGTTAAAGTAGACTCAAGTTGCATCATTTCTGGCAGTCTGTAAAAGTCCTTTGTCAGCTGCCACACTGCAGAATTAATGCAGTTAGACACTGCTTTAGCTGTCACGGCTCCATCCTAAGGAATCTTGGAATTTGTAGTTTCTTGCAGCACCAGAGCTCTCTGACAGAGAAGGCTAAATATCTCATAAGACTACAAATCCCAGAATTCCACAGCATTGCACTGTGGCAGTTAAAGCAGTGTCAAACTGCATTAATTCTGCTGTGTAGATGCAGCTTTCTATCTCTGACTGGGCTAGTCTCTATTTATACCTGGCCTTACCTAACCACTTTACAGAAAAACCTCTGGTTTTTATATTTCTGCCACCATGCCTCCCAATAGCAATGCATGAGCTGAAGTTGGAAGTCTCTACTTGGGCTCACCCATTGGCTCTCTTCACAATTCCAACCTTGTGATATTGCAGTCAAATGTCAGTTACCTTTATTTCACCCTCTAGTTCTTTGTGGGAGTCTGCATTTCCCTCCTTAAAATATTTTACAGTACTAGTCTTAGGCTGGCCAAAATAGCAGAATACTTATGCTGTATATTGCTGAATACCTTCATACTGTTGTAGGCCCTTTATGCTGTCAACAGAAGCAATGTTATCAGAAAGCTAAGAGGTGGAGGAAGAAAACTGAAAGCGGGGTCTGTTTGTACATGGGAGGAAAATAGTATTTTAAAAATGTTCCATCTGATCAGGTCACAGGGAGAACAAACCTCAGCAAGCTATTTCCCCTTTACCTTTCCCCCATCAGATCCTGCCTTTGTTTCGTGACCTTCTGCAGTAGTCATTCCCTAAGGTCTGAGAGAAAATTGAGGAAGGTGCTGGGCAAAGCTGCATGAATAACTTTGTGCAGAAATTCAGTGATTTATTTGCTATGCATACAAAATGTCAGAGAAAATGCTAGGAATACAGAGATGAGCAAGCTGCTACATGGACATGGGAATGGGCAGGAGGAACTTGGAGGAAAAATACCACCCAAGCATACAAGAAAGAAGTCCACCCAAGCACTCACCTTGTTCCAAAGCCATATATTATACAAAAAGTATGGTCTTGTAGCTGACTGCAGAAAAGAGAGCATAGGAATATGGACAAAAATCTGTAAAGAAGGTATATATGCAAATAAAATGTTTTATTTTGTTTTATTTACATGCAGCCTCTCCCCTTGAATGGGACCCCAGGTGGTTTACAAAAAGGGGAAAAACAAGAAAAGCTAAAAACATGATAATAAAATAGTTAACACATAATTAAACAAAATATCATATTAAAAGACATTTAAAAAGTATGAAATCATTTAAAACATAACAATTTTTTTTAAAAAACCCACTCATTGAAAGATTCCCCTGTAGCCAATTAAACACTAAACACCTAGACTCCTATAGAAGGGAATTCCACAGCCTAGTAGCAGCCACCAAGAAGACAAGTGAGGGAAATCTGGACTGACACTGACTTGAACCATTTGTTGTGATGGTTGTGTGCCTCCAAGTCATTTTTTACTTATGGCAATCCTAAGGCAAACCTATCATAGGGTTTTCTTGGCAAGTCTCTTCAGAGGGGGTTTGCCATTGCCATCTTCTGAAGCTCAGAATGTGTGATTTGCCCAAGGTCACATAGTGGGTTTTTATGTTTGAGCAGAGAATCAAACCCTTATCTCCAGAGCCATAGTCCAGCACTTAAACCACTATACCACACTAGCTCTCAACTAGACCAAAGGAAAGATAAAACCAGGAGACATAGGCAAGGAGAGAGGAATTCAAAACAAAGCAAGGATGGATTCATCTATTTTCATCTTGTGATACTGGTGTATGCTTTTATTTTTTAAGTGATTTCCAGACTATTTTTGCATTGGCCAGCATTTTTTTTTCAAATCCACATTACAACCTTTGTCCAAATGTGGTTGGTCTTAAAATATATATTTCTCTGTGTACAGTAGTCCACCCTTATCTGTGGTTTTACCATCTGCAGTTTCAGTTAGTTGTGGTCAGCCATGGTCCAAAAATATAAGGTGGTCCCCTCCATCCACTGTTTTGCTCTCCATGCTTTCAGTTATCCATGGTCAATCATGGTCTGAAAACATTACAGATATAGGGTTCAGTGCTATCCACAATTTTAGGCATCCATTTGGGATCCTGGAATGGGACTATTATGTTGTCTTAAAATATGCATTTTTGACACAGTTTAATACATACAGTTGCTTAAGCCAAGAACTGTTCTGGAGCATTTGTGAATCATGAAAGGTAGTAGATAATTATCCTCTGATCTGTACATGTGTGGTGCAGATTGGGTCAGTAAATATGGAGTTCGCAAAAACTAAATTCCACAACTTTCCTATATATAGGCCTAAGGAAAGAGGCAAGGAACAAGGAACAAAGGGAGGCATGGGTCAAAATCAAGAAGGACCTCAGAAAACAGTGTTTCTGTGCAAACAGGAGTTGCTGAAATGTGGGGGCTATGGGAAAAAGAGAACTGTTACTTGTCTATTTCCACAGCCATGGTCTATCTGTACTGCTATATTTCTAAGACTATTCCCATTGGGGATTTCACTCTAATCCATTTTCTACAATAAAAGGAGAGCAAAAAATATTAGAAACAAGGATTGATTATGGGTCAATACTTGCTGACTGAGGTCTACTGACTGAGGATTGACTCTGGTTAATTTCTAATAGGGTTGCCAATAGGGTGAGCAATGGAGGCCCCATAATGTGTAAATATAATTTCTCACAAGTGAAAGGGGGATCAATATAGCGCCACCTACCTGCTAGATTCCAGCTGGTGTATTGTGTTGGTTTAACTATAACACTCTAGGTGGTGGGGGCAGGAGGGAAAAGGCCATGGTCACATTGGCCATGAAGGAGGTAGGGCACCAGCAAAATAGTCTACTCAGAGCTGACAAATTTAACCTACATTCCTTTGCTTCCCCTGTGTGACCCCAAGAAAACTGCAGCTCCTATTATAGGGCACCCACAAGATCCCATTCACTGTCTGTACTATGTTCAATCAAACACTCATGTCAGTGGAGACTGTGAATACCTGTGACCACCTCTCTGAAAGTGTTCAGATGGTTGAATACAAAGAAGACTGATATCCTTAGATACAGATATCCTTAGATATATTTTCCTCATTATTAGCATTACAGTGCATTTTTTCCTTTAATCAATGCTCTCCAATAAAAGGAGAGCAAAATTGTTTGAAACAAGAATTGATTATAGGTCAATACTTATTGATTGAGGTTTACTGACTGAGGATTGACTCTGCTTAATTTCTAATAGGGTTGCCAATAGTTCTGTCAGGGACAGTTCTTCATGTCTTTCCAGGTAGGACAGTGTCCTTGCAATAATGACTATAAATCAAAGAACACGTTATACAAGTTGCTTTTTTTTTTTAAAAAAAAAATACACTAATCAAAGAAAATATGAGTGACACATTCTCAGTACTGACCTTCATTTCTGCTTTAATTGCTCATTCAAACAAATAAAGAAATGATCTGATTGCAGATCAATGCAATAAACATAGCTGTCTGAAATTGCAGCACATTAATGTATATAAAGTTATCATTTTTTTAAAAAACTTTTTTTCAGTAAGGAGCATGTACATGATCAGACATCAAATATGCACTGAATTCCACAGCTCCTGCATGATATTGCTGATGTGATGTGAATGAAAATGAGCAATCAGAACTCCTGTACATTTGAAGAGATAGAGAACATTTCCATTATATTTTATGAGTAAATCATCTGTTACTCTCCTTGTCCCTGGAATGATTCAAAACCCACTCACTGGATATGGTTCTTGATTTAGTGTCCAAGTTTCAACAGAAGAAATCCTATAATTTTGATTACATGTGTATTTCAAAGAAGTTATTCAATTATCTTTTCATGTACTTTGACATTTTGGGTTTGTTGCCTGTCATTTGTGGCTGCAAAATATTTGAATAAATCAGGAAATATTTAACCCCCTTTCTGTCATCCTTCCTCTATACTATATAATACCTTTTCTTCTTTGCTGAGACACCACAAATGTCCATAAATGAGCTGGTGAGCTTGGCAAACAAATGCTAATAATGGCCATTATCCAATGGGCTAGTTTCACTGTCTCAGGAGCTTATCACACCAATAATAGAACCAGCTTACCTGACCTGGCTTAAAATTTAAAACAGGTGGCATCCTAATGTTATCAGAAAGGTTTAGCCACTGGAATTGCCACCCGGGTCCATCCCTGCTCGCAGGGGTGCTCAGCATACCTCTTTTCGAAGCTGGGAGTTTTCCAGCTTAAGGAAATGGCTGTTGAAATGGCCCTGGGAACAGGGATGGACCCGGGATGGACCCAGCCAGTGGATTCAGCAGCTAAATTCTTCTGATAACATCAGGATGCTGCCCATTTTAAATTTCAACCCAGTTCAGGCAAGCCAATTTTATTATTGGTGCAATAAAGTCCTAAATTGATATTACACTCCATCTATACTGTAGCAATTTGACACCACTTTAATCCTAGGACCTAAGTTTTGTGAGGAATCAGCACTCTTTGGCAGAGAAGGCAAAAGACCTTGTAAAACTACAGATCTCAGGATTGCATAGGATGGAACTACAGCACTTACAGTAATTTCAAACTGCCTTATTTCAACAATGTAGATGCTCCCATCGACACCTAGTTCACAGGGAAAATCCCATGGAGTTTGAATTGTGCCATCAGCCAAAGCAGTACCATGCCTACGGACCATCAGAACAAATGCACCACCATCTGTGCAAGTGGAAACACCACCAAAATTTCAGAAATTGTCTGTTTGTCTCTGCTAACTTTATATTTAGCTAACTTGTATTTAAACCTTGCTGTTGAGATGCAGCTTTAGCTACTGTCATATAACAGTTATATGACAGTAGCTAAAGACAGTAGCTAAAGACATCAGAAATGAAATCATTAAAATCAAGTCCTGATCTAGCTACAACTTCTGCAAGCAAGTGAAAGACAAGCTTCTATTTCTCAGCTTGTACCCCATCCTCAGTTCTCATGTATTAGCATAAGACATTTTACTTCCCCAGAGTCATGTCTTCTTACAGAACTGACACAGAAACAAGACAAACAATATAGCAATACTGTGGCATTGTCACCTGAATACTTGTAATCATTTCCTGTAGATTTCAGATGCTTGCCATGATGTGGTGAAACAAAACTGATGAGTCAGTAGATTGGTCCTATGTGGGGAAAATATGAATTTATTCCAGTAGGGGAACATTGAAATCTATAGGGATCAGGAAATATTCCACTCCACAAGCACTGTTAATTTAATTTTATATGATTTTATTTGAGTTTTATCCCACCTTGTTTTATTTGGCATACGGTGTTTTAATTCAATACACCTGATTCTGCTCACACTGGTGTTCCATTGGGGCATTTGTATACCCCACAAACACATAGGAACTGTCATTGGGGTTTTTAAAAAATGTCCCACAACCCATGCAAGGCATGCTTTGATTTTTTTTTTTTGGAAAAGATTCAGTACCCAGCTTGGCCATGAAACCCACTGAGGCCTCATTCCCACTACATTATAAACCAGTTTGCTAACTGGTTTGAAGTGGTTTAAATGATCCTTGTTTGCACTTGAGCTGAATCACTGAAGTGGTTTGGAGAGGGGGACCCTGTGCTAGACCCATTTAACCTGTATCTTTTTGATGCTCTTTTTTTCCTATGTCTGAAATCAGTTCAGTGCAAGTGTGAATGAGATGCAGATCAGAATCGATTTCCTATGATGTGATCAGCTGAAGAAGGTCCAATTTGAATCAATTCATTAGTCCAGGGGTAGGCAACCTTTCCACTTTAAGGGCTGAGGGACTTCAGCTCCCAGAATCCCAGGAGCTATTGCCCAACATGGAACTATTGGCCAACATGGCTGAGGCTTCTGGGAGCTGAAGTCCTTGGCAAGTCAAACTCTCTCAGCCTCAGGGGAAGACAATGGGAAACCTCTTCTGAACAAATCCTACCAAGAAAGCCCCCATGATAGGCTCGCCTCAGGATCGCCATAACTCAGAAATGACTTGAAGGCACACAACAACAAGGCCAACCTACTATATAGAGTTGTAAAGATTACTGAAATAATTTATATGACATGATCTAAACACTACAAAGTATTATATACATGCTAGGTACCCCTTTCTCCCTTCTCTTAATTTATTTAATATATTAAATATGTCAGTAGCTAAAAAATTCTATCTAGCAAGAGTTTCACTACACAGTTAAAGGTTTTCAGGCAGCAAATAGTAGCACCAAAATATAATTATAGTATTTATTTTTAACACCTGCACAAATAAAAAAGATATTTGCCTGTAACCAAAAAAAGATATTATAGTAGGCAGCAGGCAAGCCTCCCTGAGGGAAGTAATCCATTAAGGAAGGGACTACTACTGAGTGATATTGTGTTATCTTTCAGTGGACAGGTCAAATTTACAAACTGAATAGTCACATTAGTGCTAGCATTAGCAAAGTTAATAAGGGTTTCGTCATTCTTGTATGTTATTTCCCATTTTGAATAAGAAAAGTTTAGCCTTTCCATGGTTTTGGGTCAGATTGGTTTGAGA